CCCGTTTTGCATGCAAAAATGCGTTATTAGACGATTTTCAGTCTACTTAGTGGTCCCCGAAGCTCGGCTTTTTTGAAAATCCACTAAGCCGGTGGCGTAGAAATAGGCTAAAGTTATCGACTTTTAAATGTAACATCTATTGGTGCAGAACAAAAGACACTTGTTGAAATTTCTTAAAATCAATCAGAGATGCTAAACATCAGAAATGATATTTCCAATCTAATTTAGATTGAAATATTTTTAAGGAAAACGCAAGGTCGTCTAATTGAGTTTTCTGTTGTCAAAGATTTGGAAACCATCAACAGTAGGTTTTAAAATTGCTCAAACTCTGTTTGACGGTGAAAACCATACCCTCTTTTTCCGAATGTCAACTGAACGGCCAAAACTGCCTCGGCTGCCAGTTCGAGAAGTGCAACGAAACAAAGTTTAAATTAAGGGAATTTCCTTCAATTAGAATTGGAGAAATATGCAAATGGCAACTCTTAATTAGCGTGGCTGATGTGAAGTTGTGTCATTTCTTGTTGTAAATTGTACATTCCTTACTCCCAAAGTAGAAACTGTTTTCAAATTCACGGATCCAAAAGTGACGTTAATGAAACATTTGGTGTTCCTTGTCCATTTTTTACTCACTGCAGCATGTAAAACCACAATCACTTCACTCAACCGAAACTTAATTCTGCAACAAACATAAGGATCTAGACGTCAGAATTTAATTGTTAGCCTTATGTAACATTTATAAACGAACATGCTGACTAAAAATATGCTCTACTTTGAGAAGATACCAGTAAAACAAAGTTGGACTTGGAGCTGAAGTCGAGATTTACCATCTCATGAAAATGCGTCAAAATTGACTTTTGTCTCGTATTTAAATAAGTTATATAGGACTCTCGATATTTTATTCATAATCAAAATGATGGCAAATGAAAGTGAATTTTTTTGCTATAATTTCAACCAACTTGGTAAAAGACCCTATTGATTCTATCAACGGACCTCTTCTAGAATACAAATAAATATGTTGTGATCGAGAAGGCATTAAGACTGGTTAGCATGAAAGGCTTGGTTGGTTATTTTCAACGTGAACTAAGAGCGTTGTGTAGCAGAACATTTGCATAGGAAAATTGCATGTTCAGAGACATTTCAGTTGCTTCAAAGAGCTTATCTTTGGGGTGCTGATGTAAAGACCAAAAAATTTCCTCCTGACTGCAAAACATGGCCCCTCGTTGACAAATACTTTAATCTAATAAAACGGTTTTAACTAAACCCAATTGGGTACATTTGTCAAAGTGTTATCATGTCCACAAATTTCCATTCACATATGCTAGAGACACAAAAACAAGCCTCCATGAAGACGAAAAGTAAGCATCTTCCTGTTAAAGGTCAGACCGGAAATAGATCAACAGGTGATTTCTGATTACCAGCTTAGCGTTAAAATGGTATGCTTCAATTCAAGTTGCCGTGTCCTTTGACAAGTTTGTGTAAAAACAATCGTGGAAGTTAATACAAATTGGTAGAAGCCGAAATTTAAGGAAAGGTATTTGGGTCATCAGATTTAGAATTTAAATTTAGACATATGCTTAGCTGGAAATGCTAATAAAAAGGCCACTAAGCCTAAAATGCTAGACACAACTTGAATAAATCCAACCAAGCTAATGGATAGGGAACTATTCCAGCCTGACATGCAGGCATTGGCTGTAGCAACGATTCTAATTAATTTCTTGATAGGGATCTCTCCCACCGG